AACAGCAACACCACCAACAACATCAACAAGAACAACAACAACAACCGCCCCCGCACCCGCACCCACACCCACACCCACACCCACACCCACACCCACACCCGCACCCGCACCCGCACCCACACCCGCACGCACACCCACACCCACACCCACACCCACACGCACACGCACACGAACATGCACACGTGCACGCACACGCGCAAACACGCACACACGCACGCGCAGGCGCACACCCGATGCTGGGGTTTGTTGTTGCTCCAGCTTGATGCCGGGCAAAGTGCTCTCCAAAGATTGGCTTTTCCATTTTTAAAACGCCAGGTCAAGTGTGTTCTTGCATTGCAGCCCGCAGCCCAGCTATGCCCAGCTGCCATGCGGCGACAAAGACAAAGGCTTCCGCGAGTGCAGCAGACTCAGGTACTGCTATCATCTTGTCACCCCAGCTTTTTGAACCCTTGGGTTGCAGTCTCAGTGGGAGTCGGCTCTGTGCAGCTGAGTTCTCTTGCAGCCGAGGTGCAAAATCTGCTTTCTTCGGGATTGTGCCGCGCAGATGAGCTGCTTCTCGTGAGGAGGCCTCTTATGGAACATCTGTTGTCGTTTGGGCACATGCTGCCAGTTGATCGCGCGCGTGCCAAATTTAGTCGTCAATCTCTCATGCAGGATTGTTGCATCGCGCCCCTCTGTCGCGGACGAGCTGGCTGTAAGTGCCCAAGCTTCAGATGCAGCCTTCCCTACGATACTCACCAATTCACAACCAGACGACAGGAAAAGCTGACGGCGGATGTTCAAGCCGCGTCCGACACTCGAAATACTAAGCCTGTGGCGTGTTCTTGATATCATTGCATGGATGCATGGTGCACCAAGACCAAGCCCTGCAAAGCTCCGTTGCAGAAGACCCAGCTGCCTCTCTCTTGACATGGGCACTCCCGGGCTGCTTTTTGCTTTGGTATAAGGCCTAGGCAACATCGCTAGGCCGCCTTGCCCAACTTTTTTCGTGTGGGCTTGTCACGGCTTGTCGTGTCCGCCGTGAGGCTGATGCCAAAGGAGAAACTTAAGGCACGGTCCCGCAGCGCTCCATGCATGCGCTGCTTCTGTAAGTCTATCTGAGGTCATGTGTGAGATGCTCCGATCTATCCTGCGATCGGTTAGCTGCTGAGTAAGACATTGCGACATTGTGAATTTGTCTCTGTTTGTGTGTATTTGTGTGCGTGTGTATATGTCTTGTGTGTGTGTGTGTGCTGGGCCCTCCATGCTGAACTCAAGGACAGCTTTGATGCAGCTACCCGTGCAGAGGCATCCAGTCCACACACTAGCTTATGCAGTGCCGGCACAAATCGACACATGCTGAAGGAGGCACTGCAGAGAGTCGGGGGTCTGTGACAGTGATAACTACAAGTCGGAAGTCACGCCAGAACTTGACCGTATAGCTGACATTCAGCTTTCTGATGGGGGGTGGCGATCGCTGGTCGTGGTCATGTGGACTTTCGACCCGCATGGTGGCCATGGGTGCATGGAGACTCGGAAATCTCTTCGTCAATCCCAACGTAGTAACATATGTAATCAACGTCTTCAAGATGCTCTGGAGGCTTGGGCTGTACATGCTTGGTGCTGCGAGCGGCTAGGTGACCAGCTGGGGCTTGACTGATTTTCCAAGCCCCCAGAGCTTACTGACAGGTGACGTCTCCAGTTTCCGTGTTGGCATGCGCTATGCCATCAAATACTTCGTTCCACACTTGGCGAGCAGCAAATCGTTGCCAAGGGTGCGGTGCTTCTTGCTCAGGACAAGTCGGATGTCATGGGCACTCGAGTCGCTTTAGTGCCCGCCTCAGAATTGAACTGCAGAGTCGCTGTCGCTGTAGTGTTGCAAGACTGGACGGTTGCGGTCGGCGGTCGGAGTTGAAGACTGCTCTGTGCATTCGCCCGGAAGCCCGTGTGCCTCCGAGCAGAGAGACATCCCATCACAGCTTTTTGTTCTTGTCTCAGTGTCGTTGCACTCTCGATCCAGAGCGTCCATGTAACACTCATAGTTGTCAAGAACCGTTCGTCAACAGCGGCATCAAACCTAGGGGGATCTCGGTGTAATGCGTTGCATGGCTGGCCATGTTAGTTGCTTACCGGGAGCGCTTGACAGGAACGTGCCCCTTGTCCCGAGACACTGCCTGTTTTTTGCCTGTGAAATATGAAACCGAGTCGTGCCCAGCTGCAGGTGCTATCCAGAGTCGGAGGCAAAGTGTCGGGCCACGCTAAAGCTTGAAATGGAACATGCCGGGAGTGGCAGGTGCTCTCTTCGAAGGAAGTGCTGGTGCGATCGAGGCTGCCTTAGGAGGAGTCTGCTGCATCTGCAGAGATGTGAATGTTAGGGTCTTTGCTGCGCGACCTGGCCGTTGAGGGCCTTGACCTCACGCTGACATGTTTAGCAACTTGAGACCTCGAGCTGATGCTGTCTTTGAGCTAGGCAGCTGGGCTTGCTGCGGCAGCGAGCGCTATGTCAGAGGATGCTCCAGTCCTTGTCCAAGACTGCCAGATACCGCATGCCCGTGGATGAAGCATGATTTGTCGAAATCGAAGTCAATGTCTGGCGAGTCTTCTTTTTCGGCCGAATCTGTAAGGAGTACCGCCCGTCCGCTTTATTTCAGGGGTTACCGCCCGGCTGTTTGGAAAATGCCTCCCGTGTCTAGACTTCCGTGTGTTATGTTTCTTTGGTGTTAGCTCCTTCTACATACAGCCACTTCTGCTTTACACGTTTCCTTCCGTCTGTCGGTGTGCTTTGTTGCTCCCGTTTTGGATTCTCCTCCCCAGTTGCGTATTTAGTTTTCCCTGGTAGTTGTTTTTGTTATTTCCCTTACTTGTTACTCTCGAGTGAGTGAACAGTTGTACGTTTGTAGAAGCTGGGTACCTGTCTTGTTCCTTGGACTCGAAACCCTTCGAGCTGAACAGCTTTGGTCCGCTTTCTAGTTGTTTCTATGTGAAGCTATGGGTCTTTTGACGAGCCGTGTTTCACATGAACTGCTTCGGCAGACTCTTGTGTCGTGTACAAAATGGGACTATAGGCCTGCGATGGCTTCAACGTCCTCTCCCAGGCTCAAAGAAGGGAGGCTCCGAACTGCAGTGACGACGCCGACCAGGGTTTGACGACCCATATGCAATCAGCAGCTGCTCGGAATTTCTTGCATCACGTTGCTTCCCCGGTGCCTTGGATGGATATCTATCCTCTTCAGCCTTCAGCACCTGCCACTGGCTGCCGACGGCGTCCCTCAGGCCTTTCAACCCTTTGGCCGATGCCCGCCTCATCGGTTCTGGCTTACGTAGACATCTCAAGCTTGCCTTCCGGGTGGGGGGGGGAGACTCAAGCCATCTGGAGACCCCCCTCCAGCCCCCAAGCCCCGCTTGGACATGAATGTTGGGCTGAGCATTCTACAAGCCTCATGCCCCAGAGCCCTCATCTAGGTTCAGGGAAGGCAATCGTACAGGCGGTTACCGGAACACGTTGATGTCGTTAGGCCGATAGGCCCGCAGCTACCGGTATATGGTAGATTCGGAGCAGCCGGCCAAGCCGAGACAGCAGAATCCAACGCAGGTGCCGTTCAGGTTTCGCTACTTCGACCTCGTGTGATGGATGGCTTTTTCCGCTGCATTTGGGTCACTATTACTCCTCTACCAAGGATGTCCCTTCTCTCTTGTTTTGCGCTCGCCATAGTATTCGAGAGTCTTGATACCAACAATAATATCACACTCCCTCCTCTATTCACGATCACCCCACGAATCTCGACTGTGCTGACCGAACTTTAGTGTTGGCTCGAACAACGAAAACCATAAGCCGTCATTACTCTATATTGTACTCCAGTATAAGGCCCTCGCGCGGGGTCTGCATCTTGAGACGATTGCCAACTCTTGTCGCTATTAATGACCAGAGGTGGTCTCTAATCAGTGACCTTTTCCCTCGACCTGTGAGAAAGCCCAGACAGCAGACTCAGTTACTTAATTTGGAGCAGCTGCTAGAAATGCTCAACACCGCTGTTCGCAAGCCTTCCGATGCTTGCGGGCACGAAATCAAGAGTCTCAAACCAATTATTCATGTTAGGATTCTACGACGCATCAAAAGCTGAGGCTATCGCAGCACACACAGAAGAGCAACGCCCTAATTCCTATGGTCGTCCTATATATGGCCACTTGCTTATGAGCGTTGGCCCCGGCTGCAGCCGCTTACCTCACACATCCCACTTGGTTGCAGTGCTCATTTTATCTCGTTCCCGTCGACAGCGACATGACACGTAGCTAGAATCATCCAGAGTCCCTTGTATGCGTCAAGTCAATGCATGACTACAGCTCCCCCAATTGCGTGTGTTGGAGCTCCTCGAACACACACAGCGTGGCCGTAGCTTGAACTGTGTCTCCATATATCATACACCGCCATGGTCAGCCGATCTACTGTTATCTGATTCGCCAAATCATCTGTGCTATACAATCCAGATTTCTCGGATGCGCACACTTGTACAGTACCTTAGACGCCTCGGCACATGACAACTCCGAATGGAGCGGTTATTGAAATTGTTTTAACAGGAAAATCAGGAAGAGGAGCCAGTAGGTTTGACAGGGCTCCTGACAGACGGTCAACGGGAATCACGAGAGAGGAACACTAGAGTCGCTAGAGCACGTTCCATGGCAGAGGAAACAAGTTCAGCTGAGTTCATGGCCGTTCAGTCGCGAGGCAGATCGAAGTTTCAATGTCTCAAGATCCTGCCCCACGCCCCGTCAAACAAAGGGCCTTTAACGAAAGCATGTTCCATGGTAGAAACAAATGCAGCTGGGCGCTTGACTGACCAGGATGCAGCGACCCGTGAGCTTTGCTGTGGCTTTCATGCACCTTCCGCTGGTGCCGCTAAATTTCCTCCCAGGCAGCGGTCCGTCAAGTCTCGCGCACCGCTGTATCCGCCTTCGATGAGGATTGCACACGCGTTGCACTTGTGGCAGTGTGATGGCATAGTAACGGTCTGAGCTGATGATTCAGCGTTCTTTGCGCAGGGTTTCATTGTCCAGTCGGCACCAGCCTTAAATTTGTGCCGCGCTGGGCCACACCCTTTGTGTCTGTTGTGCATGCGTCTTCCGTGCGAAGGATCGCCTGGAACTGCCATCAAAAAGACGAAGGTGGGCATGTCGGGCCTGCTGTCACAAAAAGAGCCACAAGCTTCCCTGTCCTGGTCCTTGTGTCGAAGCACCACCTCGTGTCCATTTGAATGCTCATTGATCGTGGCAGGCTGTTGCAGTGCCTGGTTAATTTGCCCGACAAGTTCGACAAGGATGGTAGAGCTGTTCTGTACACCTTGGGCGCGACCGGATGGTACTGGTAGAGCTGTTCTGTTGTATGGAGGCAGAAGGGGAGGAGGACATTTCACACTTGTGTCTGGTGCCCATCTGATTGTGCATGTCACACGACGGAAAATATCGACCGGCACATAGCTCCGTTTGTCAGGTGAATTGTCTCTGTCCAAGATCAAGTCTTGGCAGTCTTGGCTCCAGCCACCGGTGTGATATGCGAGCCTGAGATAGCAGAGCACTGAACTGCACCTGGCCGACACTTCACGTCATTCAGGGAAGCCTTGCGGTTGAACCTTTTCGGATGTTCTTGCGTGCTGTGCTCTTAGCATGAGCCTACACATGCTGGGGAAAGCATGTGCACAGAATTTGAGCAGCAGGCCTCGAAAAGCGTTTACGAGCGCCATGTACAGTTGCGAAGGCTTGTGGAGCTTGAGCAGGGGCGAGAAAGGCTTAGAGATTGTGTTGCGCTTTCATGCGGGCCTGAGCTTTCAGAACATGTGATCCAGAATGCGAAGCCGCGGAGTACTCAGGCGTTTTCAGACCATAAGCTGATCTTAGATCCTCGTGGCTGTGACCCAAAATTGAATGATGCTTCAAAGAAAGAGCTCGCAAATTGTAGATAGTCAGTGCGTGGCGTACAATGGTAGCTGTGCCTAGATCTGTTCATAGGCATTTGTCTGTTTTCCTCAGTGTTGTTTCCGTCGATAAGCAGCCTCTATGCTCGTTGAGTCTTTACTGGCGTGCTGCCCATCCGTATGGGTTTCTGTTTGTTTGGCAGTTCTCTCGTTGCAATCTCGTTGCAGTTGTCCATGAAAGCATGCACGCACAACTGCCGTGTTGCCTCAAGACCTGTTGCTGGCAAAGAGTAGACCGGCTGTAGTAGACAGCACAATTTGCGCTTCTGAAAGCCCGCACCTGAGACCCGGTCTTGCTGCAGACTGTTGTGTGTTTCCGATGGTCCGCGGGTTCCGGCCATTCCAGCCTCCCCCGGGTCGCCCCATGAGAGCTGAGAACCCGTTATGCTATTAAATTAATAGATTATAAGTTATGAGCTCTGCGCGCCTTGGGTTTTGGACCCCAGGCAGTGATGTGATTTGTTGAAGGCCCGAAAAGAGACGCTCACCGATGACAAATAGAAACGGATCATCTCGCATCCTTATGGACAGGGTGTCTCGAACCTAGAGCCTCGAACGGAAAATTGCCTTTCAATGGTCCGGGGCAGGCACTGCAGCTTCCAACGAAAGGTAAATGTATGTCAGCATGCTCACGCATGCCATGGCAAGTCCAAGCGCCACACGGTCTTTCAAAGACGGCCTTGTTCGCGAAGCTTACCGCCGTACCCGTACCCCGTGTGCAAGTGATATCAGCAGATGGGGTCTGCAGAGTCCAAGCACCTGGAGATCTGCCTCCATGATGAACGGAAGACTCCCTCTCGATCTTGCCACGAAAACTGGCACAGCAAAGAGACAATCTGTCCTCGTCGTTTCCTTTCTGTCTCAGATTGCCCCAGCTGTTTGCAAGACACCGCGACAAGTGTCCTAGCTTAACCTTCTCCTTCGCGTGTGTCCAAACTGAAGGCAGAGCTGTGTGGAATCGCCCATGCGATGAGAAGTGAGGCAGGTGCTTCCTTGTTTCTGCCCCCCTGAAGTGTTTTTCACGGCTCCACACAGGAACAGCTCTGCATGGAGACAGAGCATCTAAACCAGCAAGGTCTCCCTTTGGTTGTGCTGTCCTTATCGGGGCGGGCGCCTGTCCATCAACGCTCCTGGAGTGTCGAGCTGTTGTGAGCCGATGTGATGAGTCAGGCTTTGTGTGACAGCATGCGCGAACTGACCGCGCTTCACTCGGTGACATGTAACCTGGGTGCTTGCTGCGGCTCGGCCGTCTTGCCACAGGCCCAGCTCAGAGGGATCCTGGAAAAGCTGAGCCACGAGGCCGTGTGAGCCACATTTGCTGAGACTTGCCTTGTGTGTTTCGATGTGTTTCATATCGAAACGTGGCTTGTAGGAACAAGGGGAAGCGCAGCATGCAGCACTCAATGAAAGCTGTCATCCACTGGTTGTGGCCTCCCTGGAGTTGAGCGATGGGGCGATTCTCTTCCCTTACAGGTGACTGTGCTCCCTGAGGCATCGCTTGCACAATTCATGCATCAAGAGGCAGAGCGCCTCGCGCCGGGAGCCCGGAGAGAATGCAGAGCGGAAAGTTGAAAGAATTACTATTCACACAGCGTTCTCTTCTGAGGTTGGATGGCTCTTTCGCCAAACTCATGTCGAAGACAAAGCTTCCCACGGAGGCACCGCACCGTGTCTTACAGTGGAGGATGCAGGCAGAGCAGAAAGCCGACGCTAAGCGCGGCACCAAAAGCCTCAGATTTGAGGAGCGGTCCCGGAAGCTTCCCAACTATCAGCTCACGAAGTCTATCGAAGTATTCGGCAACACCACAAACTTAGCCCCTTCCGGTTGTCGGTCTTGTCTGCCACGACGTGCACACGGCATACAGTAGTTGGCATCATACGCCCCCACCTGCCTCGTGTCGACCTGGCCTCGAGGCCTCATTCGGGTCTACAGCCATCTGCATGTGCGGTGTTAAACTAATCTGCGCGCTTTCGTGTCCATGTTTGAGCAGACATCGGAATCTGTTCAGGGCCTGTCTAGATGCGTGCTGCTGACACTTCAGGACCCTAGGCCCTGTTCCGGCACTCGGGGGAGCATGCATGCAGATCTATCGGATCAAGAACCCATGCCAAGTTCTGAGAACCTTAAGAGCTATCCCAAGTCTTTCATTAGCTTGAAAATCACTTTCCATTCACCAAAGGCTGGTCAGGCCAAATACGGACGGAATCTTTAGGGAGATCCAAGTGCGGCGGGCGGTGAAAACAGGGAAAACGGAAAACAAGACTGCACTCTGCACCTTCCACACCATCTAGTCGCAGATGTACGCTGAAGCCATGGTGTGTCAAATGGGATTCTGAATCCTGAACCCATGCTAAGTTCACGTACCCTTTAAGTGAATGGTGGAACGACTTGCTCGAATGTCCAGTCTAGCAGCCAAACCGGTAACCAGACCAGTCGATGACAATGACTTAGGGACTTAACTTAGGGCTCAGACTGCGCGTGGCCCGGAAGGCACCCGCTCCAGCGGCTCCTGCGCCAGTCGGAGCCATCAGCCTGTCGGGCACTGCACTTATGCGCCGCTGCAGTCTGATGTCTGGGTTCTAAGGGCACAGAAATTGTTCCTGCAATCTGACACCTGCTTTTTGAGGCGTTTCACCGTCGCTTGGAAGCCTTCAAGACTGATCTGTGCGTTTGTGACAAGTCTTCACGTCCTTTTGCCGGCCGAGGTCGAACTCCACTTCAGCGCCGATGCGGTCCCCCGAAGGTTTCCTAATGCCACACTGTTCAACAGAATTGTGGGGCTGTTTAAATCGGGCGCACAAAATGTCACATGAGCAGGTGGCAACTGCACGCAAAGCACCGTATCCAGGAGCGGATAACGGGCTGGGTTGGTGGAGCAAACATGCAGTGACTGCTTTCTATGCAAAATTTCACTTGTCGACTGCAGGGTGAGAACTCGTTCCAGGCCCCAGCCAAGGGATTGAATCCCGATTCTCTTCGCAATCTTTGGCACTGCCAGGGCGCGGCCTGCAAGCCCCAAAGAGTGTGGCTGCCCTGCTTAGCACTGCTTGCATCAAGATCTGCACGTCTGTTCTGACCAGCAGCTGACAAGGGAGTTTTCTTGTTTTGGGAGGCCGGAATCTGAGAATCTTCGGGGTTTTGGGCCTGACTGCCTGTCCTACAAAGTGCCTCCTCAAGTTGAAGAAGTGGCTTTCTCATGTGCGCACCGAGACTTGCGTACTGCATTAGTTACTGTTATTAATTTGCGATTGGCAGAGGCTTGTCGTTGAGGCGTTCCCCTTGCACAATTCTCCTTATGCGAACACTTTTTACAAGGAAAAGCACTGTGCGTGCAGCATTGTTTGTACTTACCTACTAGGGGCACACGGAAGTGTGGAGCGACGCTCCGGCTTTCAGGATGTCTAAACTTGATCACGGCTTCCATTTCTGAGCCCATCATGGTCTCGCCACCTTTGGCCGGTCCCCCCCGCTTACGCATGGAGATGCCGGGAGCTTTAACGTCGGAAGCAAGACATCTCATGCAATGCAAAGGACCCCTTTCGCTGCCACGTTTGCCCCTTGCCTTGCGGTCTCAAGCTGGGCGGTGCGTCATCGTGGGTGGGTCGGAAGTGACGTCGGCCCAGCGGCAGCCAAACCGAAGGACACGTCCTACCCAACGGTTGTACAACATTCGGATCATTCGGGCTCCTTCAAGCCACGCTGACACACCTTCTGATGTTTCTTTCAGTCAAAAGCTTCGATGCCGCAAATTCAAAACCCGCTAAAGGTCTTTAACCTTCACCAGTCAGCTGACATCGCTTGGCCGACGTCTGCCGGTGGTGCCGGGTGGCGCAAACTCTGTCGGCGCCTCTCGAACAGCGGATCTTGACAGCACAATGCCCTAGTGCCATTACTCGCGGCGGGTTTACGGGAGCATCGGTGGCTGGCGCGGCATCAGCCGGCGACGAGATCATGTTCATGCTCACGTCCAAAACACAGAGCAGCCGCTAGAGATCCTGTCCATGGCTCCACGGCCGCGGACTCGGAGGGACACTCGGCTGCTCGTCGTTTAGGACAGTGACAAGGGGTTGATGTGGGTGCATTCTGGGGTCGTCGTGTCGGGTACTCAGCTTGTCACGTGCCTCTGACGGCAAAACCGACATGTCAAAACCAATGCTGCGGAAATCCCGAACCACCATCCATGTCAATCCACGCATGCGCTTCTTGGACTGTCCCGCCAGACGCGAAGCCCAGCCTCAGCGCAAGAGGGCAGCATCCAGGGAGTCCGGCCTGGAGTGGTCGCCAAAGAAATCGCATCAGTTGTGTGGCATTGAGTTCTTGTGACCCTCAATTCGGACAGTCCGGACCATGAGGCGCGAAAAGCGCCTGGGCTTGGTCGGCATCCCCGGAAAAGCGGAGGCGCGCTGCGCGAGGCGAGTCGAGTCGACTTGCGCTGTGGTGGATTTTGCGAGGCCGCCCTGGGCCTCTCTGGTAGGCACGCGGTGATGGTCATCTTAGATGCAAAGGGGCGTTGCGAATCTTGCACTGTCAGGAGACGCTCACCCTGCGATGAGGTCCAAACAAAGCGAGACGCCCTCATGTGCCTTCCGAAATCGTCCTCTTCCAAGGTTACTGATGCTTGCAAGCCCTCCCAGGGCAAGCGTGTTGTCCTCGGCTTTGACTGCAGAAGGGCGGCAGGCAGAAGATGAATCGAAGGTGGTTTCTCGGGATCGGTGCCTGGAATGGTAGTGAGTCACAGTGGGACAGTCTCCAAGGCGCTGCATCCGAGCGCTCCAGCTCCAAGAAGGCAGGGCTTCCGCCCAACACTCCATCTTCGTGCACGGTCGCTTGTGCACAGGCAAATCAGCCGAACACAGAGAAAAAACAAGACAAGGCGAAGTGCAGTTTTGATTTGTGTTAGGTATGGCATCTGAGCAGTTGGAAGCATGAGCCACGAAAACTCCAGAACAAGACCATGCAGTGCACAGCTTTCAGGCTTCTGTGTGTCTGCGCGTTGGGAGAGTTGAGTTGAGGGTGACCTTGTTCGAAAACCTGGCAACTTAGTGCGTGGAGGCGGGCTTGTCCAAATCAGCATCTCGAGCAAGGCCGTCGACGTTTGTTGGCTTTCGCTTCAGTCATGGGAGTGGTTATAGCAACGAGTCTCGCACTGGTTGCAGGCCACAGACGATTTCTGCTGTCGAGGCCCTTGCTGCTCTGCAGCATCCACGGCACCACGACACGCATGGTCTTTGGGAAAATGGAAGGTGGCCTCAGCAAAAGGGTGCGAAGGCAAACAGCAAGGCCTAAAATGTTGCAAGAGGCTGTGTGTTCAGCTTGTGCCCGCAGTGCCGGCAAGAAGGTGAGCTTTCACGTTCTGCTCGCCGAAAGGATGCAAACCAGGCATCGTCCGGCTTTGGAGTTGACGGTTCATGCGATTTTATCAAACCTGAAGGAGAAGCGTGCATCCACTCCCGTGAGGCAGATGGAACCAGTGTGTTACAAGTTGAGTATTGATCCGGGTTGTGCAGGGGCTGAGGTTGCTTTGGAGCTTAGTGTCTCAATGCCATGGCCAAGAGGAAGGCCCTCGAAGCAATCTAAGGAGCTTTTGGGTCTGGATTGCGGGACTCTGTTGCGGCCATGGATGCTTCCATAGGCACTTCGCCATGAACGTTCCTAGGGCAGTGTGAGCATGCCATTGGAAAACAGACGTGATTCGGGCTGCGGGCATGGATGCTTCCCCATAGGCCAAACGTTATCAGCGGTGCGAGGAACTTTCGAAGATAGACGCTATCACGGGTGTGAGCGTGGATCCTGTCCAACCGGAGCACCGTGTGTCCTGTGGACCAGATTTTTGTTCAATTGTACCACCCGCGGAATACTGACGTTGGCCCCGGCCATACCCACGATACTATGGGCGTTGTTTCAACGAGCTGGCTCATACGTCCCCCGCACCCTAACAAATCCACGGATGTTTCCATGACACTATAACGTGATTTGAGCGAAAGCCTTGACCGGCAGTTTCTTCCTTTTCCGCTCTAAAGAGAGTTCTTTTTGAGTCGAAGCGTCACCGATAGCCGCCTTAGCGGCAGCCCATAAGAGATGCTCGAAGCACTCGGAAATGTGAAGCTCGAAGGCGGGATTCGCAGCCTCAGCGCAAGAGGGCTGCATCTGGGGAGTCGGGACCAGAGTGGTGACCTCAAACTGTGACTGTCGGAACGAGATGTCCCTGCCATGGGAAAAACCGAGGCGATTGAAACGCTTGGGCCTAGTTGGCATCCCACCAGGAAAGGCAGAGGCCCAGCTTCCATAGATCAGGCGCTGGGCATTGTCTGAGGGGCTTTTCCCTGCAAGGCCATGGGCCTCTCGGGCAGGCCGGCTGCGGATGCAAAGCCGCCTTGTGCAGCTCCGTGCAGCGTTTGCAGGCGGCGGCGGCCCTCCGAAGTCTCTGACAAAGCCATCGAAAAGATCCTTCAGGCCATGTCTGCGACTGACTGGAAAGTTTTACAACACTTCCGTGAGAGCATTTCCTGCCCCTCCGTCCCATCTCTGGTATGGTCTTGGCGGGTTGGTCGTGACAGTTCACACTGTTGCGTGATCGGATCTTCGTGCCTTTCGAGGGACAGTGAGCCACTGGGCTCCGCGTAGATCCTCGAGACCACTGTCGCTTCTTCACACATCTTCATGGCACGTAAAATGCGTCAACTGTCACTTGGATCGGGTGTGCTGGGCCCGGGTATGTATGCGCATACATGCCTTCGACTGCCTGTGCATGCATGCCTTCATGGATGTACGTACGCAGGTATGTACGTACGTATGCACCTAGGTAGGTAGGTAGGTAGGTAGGTAGGTAGGTAGGTAGGTAGTTAGGTAGGTAGGTAGGTAGGTAGGTAGGTAGGTATGTAGGCATGTAGGCATGTAGGCATGTAGGAGGTATGTAGGTAGGCTATGCATGCTATCGATGTATGTATGTATGTATGTATGTATGTATGTATGTATGTATGTAGGTATATAGGTATGTAGGTATGTAGGTACGTAGGTATGTAGGTATGTAGGTATGTAGGTATGTAGGTATGTAGGTACGTAGGTATGTAGGTATGTATTTGTGTGTGTCACGTTTTTCATAATTAGCATTCAAATGTATGTACGTATGCAT